CCTCCCCCCCCCGCCCCAGCTCCCCAAGCGTCTGGGCTGCACGACTGCCACGCCACCAATCGTGATGCTCCGGGCAGTGCAGCTGCAGCACCCGCACTCCGCATGGCACAGTCGGGGAGCCCCAGAAGCGGCCGGGCCAGGCGACACCAGGCACATACAGCTTCCAGCCCTGATGTGGCCCTCAGGCCACAACGTTTGCCCTCCCCAGGTTAGAGAGATATGTAGTAAAGTGAGAGCAAGATGGAGCCAGACTTGACAATCGTGATGCTCCGGGCAGTGCAGCTGCAGCACCCGCACTCCGCATGGCACAGTCGGGGAGCCCCAGAAGCGGCCGGGCCAGGCGACACCAGGCACATACAGCTTCCAGCCCTGATGTGGCCCTCAGGCCACAACGTTTGCCCTCCCCAGGTTAGAGAGATATGTAGTAAAGTGAGAGCAAGATGGAGCCAGACTTGAGAGACATTTCTAGACCCAAGGCAGGTCACAGAGCTGCTTCCCAAGTAGGTTTCTGGGTGACTTTCAGCTCAGGATGCCTCCTGCCAGCCACACTCTCAAGGGGAAAAAGCAATGAGGTGAAAAATTCAGTCTCAGAGCAGCTGCTGCAGCTGCTCCCATCTCTAAGCAACAAGAGGCAGCCCAGCAGAGTCACTGGCGAGGTTTGTGCGCCGGTCCCTGGGCTGAGCAAACAGACTAAGTGCGTAGCACAGATGGGCTGGGCCTATTTCAACAGCTCAGCACTTCCAAGAAAAAGATCTGTCAGCGACTTGGAGTAATTCTCAGCCATGTCACAGGGCAGAGCCCGCTGTGCCAAGGGACTTCCCCTCCGTCTGGAGAGAGAATGTCACACGCCATGCCCCGAAGGAACTGGTCTGTACTAGCGCTTGTCCCCCGCCTCAGAACACCCGGCGCTGATCACTGCTTTGCTGCTGGTCAGTGCAGCACGACATCCCCCTCCCCCAGAACCTGCCACTCAAAACAAAGCCACCCCACTGCCCTGCCTCTGCAACTGTCAAGAGCCCTGTGCCCCGTCACCTGGGCCCTGTCACTCAGCGGTGTTGCACAGTCTGACTCACTCTTCCTGCTGGAAAGGGACAGCTGAGTCCTGGGCTACCCATCCAGTATCTCGCCTGAGGCACAGCCCAGCTACCCCATACAGATCAAAACACAAGTGAGCCTTTGGCTCCCCGGCTAATGGGGAAAGAGGCGACTTGCAGAGAGCTGTGGGTGCAGGCCAAGGAGGCCAAGTGAAGGGAGGGTGGATTCACAACGCTCTTACTTACCGTGAGGGAGGTGAAGGTCATGCATATGCCGCCAAAGCCATTCAGAGCCAGGGCGATGAAGATCAGCACTGACAGTGCTGCAAGGGAAAACCGAGAGCATTTACTGGCTGGAGCCGCAGAGTCCCCCACAGCCTGGTGCCAGCAAGCGGCATTGTGGCAAAGATGGAGCCAACCCCCTGCACGGAGCAGAATGTTCCTTCCCTAACTGGTTCATGCTGCTCGGTCTAATCCAAGGTCACAGGTTAGAAGTGCAGGTACCAGGAGAATCACAATTCAAGGTGGGCAGCAGTTTGCGGAGCCATGGACCAGGTTCATAAAGGGTTAACCGGTTACCGTCTGCCTTCCCAGCATACTTACCAGGGTAACCCTTGCCCAGCCCAGCTGGAGCAGCGCCCTGCCTGTGACAACACGGTTCACATTTTAAACAGGATTTTACATCCCTACCATGGACGCTGGTTTCTCTCTGGGATGGATGGCAGCCCTAGATCTCGTCTCCCTCTGCTCCCCAGTGGTCTCCCTAGCTGCAGCTAGTCAGCATTGGTCTCAACAGGAAAACTTTCCTTTTAGAACTGGGCTCCAAGCGCTACCCACTAGCACAAGTGCTGGACACAGCTGTATTTGTCCTGGGGAAACCCAGCACGTCGTTCCAGAGGGACCTGCTCACCATGAGAAACGTGCTTTCCTCTGCCAAAGACGCGGCTGCCTCAGCATCACCTCCGACCCTGCTCAGCAAGGGACCGGTCAAGCAGCGAACCCAGAATTCCCCCTTAACACCCGCTCATGCAACGCGGAGCCTGCGGACCTGGTCTGTGGTGCCAGGAGGTCGCACTGCGCACGCCACACAACACTGGCAGGGAAGAGTGGTGCTTGGAACTTTCGCCCCTGGGGAGCTTGGCTGTCGGACTCTGGCTGCCTTCTGGGAGGAGCTGGGCCTGCCTCCCTCCCAACCATTCTGCGCTTGCTTCGAGGGATCTCTTCAGCTCACTGACACCAGGGCCAGAGCACGTCCCTGATCTCTGCACACGGCAGCCCCCAGGTGCTAGCTGAGCCTTTCGGGAGTGGAGCAACCCAAGACCTTTCAGCAGAGGGCACGTTGCTCTACTTACAGTTCGGGTTACTGGCTCCATAGGCGATCATCAGACAGGACACAGCAAAGCAGGCACTGAAACAAAAAATGGAAGCGAGGCTCTAGAGACTGTACCGTCTCCGTCGTCCCAGTGCCTAGCTAAGGTGGAGACTAGCAGAGTTAATTGGCAGAAGCGGCACCTGGAGAGGGAAGAGATGCGGATGGTCTGGAGACGAGCATCCAGAAAAAACAGGGCTAGGATGTTCGCGCCCCTTCTCTGGGAGCTGGTGAGTTGCCCTCTCCCCCGCAACACTCAAACCAGAGGGCTGGGATTTTCAGGCTGTCTCCCCAGCCAGCACCTGCATTTCGCGAGACTCCAGCCTCCTCCCCCGCCCTACTCACGTCTGGCCAAGCTGGTTCACGCGGAGGCTGCAGTTTGCTCAGAGCCGTCACCTGCCCACCTCTCAAGTGAGGCAGGACACGGGGCACAGGCCCCCGGCTCAGTTTCAGGCACAATTCTCAGTTCTAATCTGTGCAGACCGAGACGGTCTGGAGCTGTTCGAGAAACCGCGCCTCCCCGGCACTCTGCCGCAGCCGCTGCTCACACCGACCCCACGCAGTCGTGCTGCCTGTTCCTTCGCCTCTTGACAGCACAAGGGAAGCTTCAGACTGGCCATATGCAATTACCTCTGGAATTCCAGGGGGAACATCCTGCTCCTGCAAACCGGGGGGCGGGATAACTGAGTAACCCCAGAGACAGGCCTGGTTTTGCTGTATGAGCCAACGCCTTCAGCAGTTCTGTGCCACGGGGCCACGGACATAGCATCAGGCTGGCTGCCACCCCAACTGACGCAGCAGAACAGTCCACCCCTCCAAGGCCTTCCTGCCCAGGAATTCAGAATCTAGGACCATGGACTAAATCCCACCCCCTCCCGACAGTCTGATGCCAAGTGAGCTCAGCTGTCGGCAGGCACCCCCCTGCCAGTGGCTGATGGAGCTCGGGGCAATTTCCAGCCAAGAACAGGGGCCAGATACCAAGGAAATGAGGAGATCCCCCCGGCGCTGGACAGAACCGGAGCCATACCAGCTGCTGGCCACAGACCGAGGACTAAGCACAACCTCGGGCTCAGAATCAACATCTAGGCTTGAATCGGCTGGTAGGCGTCGGGACACCCACCTGCCAAGCAGCCGCAGTTTGCGGGGGCCATACTTGTCCATGACAATCCCAAGAGGCAGACTGATCGCACTCAGCAGAAAGGATCCAACGGTAAAAGCCAGGTTCAGCATCTCATCCTGCTCCAGGCAGATGAGCCAGCCGTTGAGCCGGATCACAGGGTTGGGCTCCGTCCCGTTGCCCGGCACAGGGCTGGCGGTAGTGTTCTCTGGATGGGATCAGAGAGACGTCGTTACAGTGCAGCCAGGCAGAGGCAGCACTAACCCAGTTACAGAAAGGGGGAAGCAGAGCAGCCCTGCGCAAGGCACAGAACGCAAGGCACTTTACCGACCGGAATCCAGAATTCGGGTGTGCCCAGGTGTGAGTTACAACCCCGCCAGTTACTTCCAGACCAGTCCCTGTGCAGACAAGCCCTTCGGCACGAACCACCATGCAAAGGGCTAGCGCTCAGGTGAGCCGTTACCCCTGCATCGTGATGGGAGCAGTTTAAGACCAGCCAGTCCTAACAGAGGAATCTAATTTGGGGCCTGACTGTCCTAGACTCAGTGATTCAACAGCCTCCCAGGCCACTTCTGCCATTGCCCAAATTGTTCTCGCTTGGAACCTTCCAACCAAGCTCCCTGGATGGCAGGGAAGGGCGGCTCATGAGGCTCCCTACAGACCCGCAGAGAGCTGTGCCTCCCTATGCCTTTCCCCAGACTGAACATGCTCAGTTCTCCTAACTCCCAGATTGCGTTGTCCAAAACACTCATCGTGTTGCTTTCTTTTCGTCTTCAGGTGAAGGTGGCCAGCTGAAAACCGCCCCCCAGAATGAAATTTGTATTTATTGTACACAAAATGGCAACTACGAAATCAGGGCAGTTCGGCATAAGCCCATTTCTTTGTTTCGTAGAATCCTAGAACACTAGGACTGGAAGGGACCTGGAGAGGTCATCGAGTCCAGCCCCCCGCCCTCTCGGCAGGTCTAAGCACTGTCTAGACCATCCCTGATAGAGGTCTCCAGTCTCTTAAATACCTCCAGTGATGGAGATTCCACAACCTCCAATTTCACAGCTCTTGCAACAACATCCCAGAAAGGTTTTGAAGTTCTAAATGGAAATGCAGGATCTATTTCATTAATACAAACTGCTGGTGCATTCCTTGTACACTTCTCTTTTCTGGCAGGGTCAGTTTTCAAGCCAAGTAAGCTTTGTTGGCATGACAAGGGACTTCGATTTTCTCCAGCTGGGAAAAGACCCATGTCATATAGAAATTGTCTATTGAAACTGCCTTCAGGACAGTAAATATTGCCAAATACAGCTGACAGAATTTAACATTTACAAATCGAGGGAGGTTTTTAAATGCATGAATACATATAAAATGAGAATAGTGCCCAAAATGGAACTCATTCCCTAACAGAGACCTAATCAGTGCCAATTAGAGAGGACTCATCTCATGCCCTTTGGTACAGCATTACCCAAATCAGTCTCTGGTCCTAGTGGCCCACGGCCCAGCCATCCTGCAAGTCAGTTTTTAGGATATTTCTTTCCTCTTACCATAACCTCTATAGCTTTAGGGAATGTCGTTATCAGGTTCAAACAAGTTCTACAAGGCTGTGCTGTGGTTTTAGTTCCTTCAGCCAACCTGATTTCTCCCAGCTTTGTATCCACTGAAAATAAACGTGGCTCTACCCTCCAGGTTTCAAATACCAACAGACACTCCGTGACTGGAAAGAACGCACGCGCACACGCTCTCTCTCTCTCGCTCTCAAGCGCTTTCACTAACGGGGTCTCATGCGTCCCCTGGCAAGGAACAAGGTGTGACAGATTCTTCCCTGTTGTTACTTGCACCAATATGTATCAATTTTTAGCCTGCCCCTGCTCTGGAGCCTGTTTTCCACGGCTCCATTTCCAGGGCCTTTGTCCATAGGACCCACTTTTTGGTTTGGCCCTTTCAGCTAGGGATGTAAAAGTCCCAGTTCAAAGGGGATGGATACATAATGTTTAACCAATTAACAGGCCAGCAGCTCCCTGCTGGTTAACCGGTGAAGGTGCCAGCAAGAGACAGGCTTACTGGGTAACCGGTTAACCCTTTACAGCCCTACTTCCAGTATCCATTCTAGAGTGCAGAATGAAGAAGCAAGCACAGGCTCTGCAGCTGACGCAGATATTCCCCCCGCTGAGGTGTCCCTCACACACAATTTCATGTCCAGTGCAAAACACTCAGACTGGCCCCAAGTCCTACCAGGCTTCCATCTCCTGCCTCTTGAAGACTTTACAGCCCACACTGCTGGCAGGGAGGCAAGCGAGACAGAGGGGCTCTCCTTGCAGAGCTCTGCGCTGGCCACAGAGAGTGGGCGGAGGGTGAAAGGTTAAGCTCGGACACAGCAGAACGGGGCGGAACAGAAGTGGAAGCCCTGCGTCAGCGCACTAGGCAGAAGGCTGCGGTGCTTCGCTGGGAGCGAGGAGGCAGGGTGGGAGACACTGGCAAGGCAGGGACCTCGTAAGGCCTGGTTGTGCGTGTCAGTGAGGAAAGGAAACCCAGCCAGCAGCAACCCTTTGCCACACCGACGACTGAACACACAACATCCTGCATGTCTTCGTGTTTATCCTTACAACAGAGCTCTCCTCGTGCGCCAGAGAGGGGCAGGCAAGCATGAAGGGCAGCAGCGCTGGGCATGGTGGCCAGCTTCTGGCACAGATTCTGACCCTGCAGGTCATGCAGCCAGAAGGGCTGCTGCGCTTCCAGCTGTGCTCAGTAAGTGACCTAGGGGCGTGGCCATCTCTGAAGAGCACCCCAGAAACGCAGATACCCCCTTACTGCAGAAAGGTAAGAACTGCCCAGCACAGCCAAAGAAACCCAGCAAGGTGAAATCTAAGTTGTCTGACAAGAGGCTCTGCACCTTGTTATTCTCTGAGCCGGCCAGTGGCTTTGATACAAACAATAGGCCAGTGTATTCAGGGCGCGCATGTCCGGTCAGTCGGAAGGCGTTCTATTCGGGAGAGTCGATTGAGTAACAAGAGGCTGAGATGCACCATATCCTGGAGATCACTCTGCGTCACTCAGCAGGGAGAAATTTGCTCCATTACATGACAAGGAGCTTGGATGAGCTTTCCCTGAACAGAGCCTGGATCTCTACGTTAGTACCCAGCTCACAGCCGCACATGGACCATCATGCAGCCCTATTACAGGGCTGAGCTCGTTCTCTGGGAGATTCACACTACAGAGAAGGGTCCTATGGGCTGGCAGCACCATCTTCTCTGAAGTCTCCAGCCAGCACCCAGCTGCACCCAACCTTTTCCAAGCATGAAGGTCAGGAAGCTCTAGTCTGAGTGAGTCACGTAGCCTGAACCCCGCCACACACTAGAACAGTTTCAGATCCTTTGTGAAACAGAAACCCAGCGAGTATCAGCAGCAATGAGAGGACTCTGCAGACAACAGTGATTCTGTTTACAGAACCCTGGATACCAGTTCGCAGCCTCAAAGCCTAAGAATCAGCTCAGCTTTACACTTGTCAAGGATGAGGAAATGCAGGTGCCACGAAGGCCCTGCAGCACCCAGCAGAATGTGGATATTCCACTCCCCGCCACAAACCCCCCGGCATGTGCTTCCCAAGGCCAGAAGTTCCATACGAAGGTCGTTCATTAACTGCCCTTTGCTGACTTTTAAGCATGCCAAGCAAAGTTATCCCAGGGCTGACTGTGGCCTCATATCAATGTAACTGCCATCTCCAAGCTTCTGGGACAGGAAAGATTCAAGCCACCCCGCAGCAGGGAAGCAGGGAGAAAGGGGAGAACAGCTGGGAACCGGAGGGCTCCAGCACATGCAGACTTTCTAAGCTGAGGTTGCTTTGCATCCCCTCCTGATAAAAACACGTCAGGTGCCCAGGCCTCTCTCATTTCCCATTTGGCTTCCCATTCACATCTAGAGAGCTGGAGCAAGGGGCCAGCCGACCTGCAATACACAGGGTCCCTGCACCCGTAAGAATCTGGCTCATCTCTTTAGTACTTGATGCTTTACGCCCTACGTTCCACTCCTACCCGTGCACTCTGTCCGCTTCAACCATTGGGGGACACTTCCCTCCGCCTGGATAGTCAGCCTTTCACAGTTCACGTCACACACTTTTTCCAAGTCTGAGCTGGTGTTGTGGAGACAGGGGCCAACACCTTCTCCGCTGCACTGGGATTTCAGTGACGAGTCTTTTGCAATTCAATCAAAACAGAACACTGCCACAAACCGAACATTTCCCGTGAGTCACATGCCCAGCCTTTCCACAAATAGGTCCGATGTGCAAGAGGCACTCCTGACTGCAGCCGGTGGGAGTGTGTACAGAGACCTGCAGCTGCCCCAGGCCGGTTTGGGGGCGACTGTGGGGCTATTTCCGTGCCATGCGGTGCAGACCTCTTGGCTCTGGCTGAAGTCTGAGCTCTGGCACCATCCCACCAGGCGGTCCCAGAGCCTGGAGGCCTACACAGCAAAACCACCACCCACAGCCTGAGCCCATGTGGGCTGGCTCAGCGAAGCCAGTTTCCTTTTGCTGTGTAGACACAGCTGGCTCCATAGCATTAGTTTAGTGCTAAATTCCAAGCTGGAGTTAAAAGGCTCCAGGCAACATTTTCCTTCTACTTTTCTTCCATTACAGGCCCATCAAGCTGGAACTCAGTCACTCCTGTTATCAGCTGTTTAGTACCCAGCCATCCCTTTGTCCCACCAGCTCTCTATCTCGCCTCCCTGAGAGCAGACTGCCAACCTCAAGGCCTTTAACAACACACTTTGGAAAGACCTTGATCAGCAGCCTCCCAACTTGTGGCCCTGAACACAGCAGGATCCAGAGTCCCCAGTAATTGCCCAGAAAGGCTGCAGATAAAGGGTGCAGAATCAGCACGGACAAGGCGAGTTCAAACAGCTCTGAAGGGCAATGTATAGTACAATTAAAAACGGAGCCAAGTGTCACTATCAGATGCCGGCCAGTTTGGTCCAGAGGTGAAAGTAAGAGTCTCTTACGGGGTCCCTGCCAGCTCTTCCCATAGCTCCCTGCTGCCTTTTGCAGCAGCTCAGCCAGCTCCGGCTAGAGCAGCACACCCAGGTGCCCTGTGGTTTAGTCCAATCCTCCTCCCAGAAGGTGCCTAAGGATGGCTCTCCACTCCCTGGAGAAGCCCGTGGGCCGACATAGGGCTCTCTGGGCTGGGCCAGCCGTGCTGCTCGGGGGGGGGGGGGATTTTTCACCTC